AAAGTAAAGAAACTATGTTGAATCTCAATATTTATATAGGAAGTTAAAGAAACTACCCTGAATTACAATACACAGGAAATTAAAGAAGCTAGGTTGAATCACAATACACAGGAAAGTAAAGAAACTATGTTGAATCTCAATATTTATATAGGAAGTTAAAGAAACTACACTGAATTACAATACACAGGAAATTAAAGAAGCTAGGTTGAATCACAATACACAGGAAAGTAAAGAAACTATGTTGAATCTCAATATTTATATAGGAAGTTAAAGAAACTACACTGAATTACAATACACAGGAAATTAAAGAAGCTAGGTTGAATCACAATACACAGGAAAGTAAAGAAACTACATTTAATCATAATACACAGGAAAGTAAAGAAGCTATGTTGAAACTCAATATATATATATAAATATATATTTTGGAAGTTAAAGAAACTACATTGAATCACAATACACAGGAAAGTAAAGAAGATACATGTAATTGGATACTTCTAAGTTCTTATTATGTTATAGTTATATATTGTATTGTGTGTTTTGTATTTATTAGAGTATTTTTCATAATATATTTAACCCTTTCGAGACGGGTCATGGGTGAAAGGCCATCTCATGTCCTTTGTTGACTCGCATTCAAAATTTTATTGAACTACTATTTCATGAATTCATGTCAATAACTTTGATATAATTATAATGATTATAATTCAAATTTTAGTACTATATATTACTCAGTTTCTTAATTTTAAAAGCAAATATTAAAAAGACACAGATAAACATTGTTTTTTCTGTGTCACATGGTATGTTGAATGCAGCACTGGTTCAAATTAAATGTTTGTGAAGTCAAAATACTAAGTCTATAGTTTTGTACGAATTAGAAAATCAAACTACCAATATTGACAAGCTAGAATTTGCTAAGATATTGCTCATGTAATAAATCAAACACAGTGGCACCCCAACCACCTCTTTCCATTTTTGGAAATGCTCTGTTATATACACTTCTATATATGACATGAATAACCAATCTGAAGCTCAGAATGTCCCCCTAGTGGCTTTCTCAGCCATTTAAACAGGCTTGGTGCCAATTCTTTCTTTCGAACCAATATTTCAACGAGGTAGGGTGTGTCTTTAGTCTGCTCAAAATTTCATATTTTTTAGACTAAAATACATCTTAGTTACTAAGCTTTATAAATTATACTGGAATTCTGTGGTATTAATGTAGTGATTTATGATTTTTAGTTATTCAAATGTATATATAAAAATTTAAAAAAAATATTTTGTTTCATATCCTCCATGTGCAAATTTTTTGAAGGCTTGGCAGCCTATGTCAAGGAGCAACCAAGTACAAAGGTCAAGATTGTCATAGGTCATAAGAGATAATTGTTTGCTTTACTTTTTTAGTTACTGTTCTGTGTTTTAAGGTAAATAAGTTTAAGACCTTATTTCAAAATAGCAATAATCTATATACATATATAATATATAATGATTGAAATGTGACTGTATTTTACAAAATACTAGTC